TTTGCCTCTTGAGGGAGCACCTAGCTAAGCTTCATGTTGACCATGCCTTAGTTGTTTTTTGTGCTTATTATGTCATAATATGCCTCTGTTTTTAATTGATTTTGGTACACCATGCATGGTTAGCATACCTACCTTGTAATGCCACTTTGTTGCCTTAACATGCCTTAGGTTGTAAACCCTTGTTCTAGCATGTTTCAGGCTTAGCTTTATGAAGTTTTTGTGCATATTTTGTCATGTTTAAGGTCTGTCCTAGGTTGTTTGGGTCGGATTTGGCATGCTTAGTATAGCCCCTTTGCATTCCGGCTTGTTGGCCTTAAGTGTGTGAATGTATAGCATGACATTCTTGCATTGATTTTGTGATTTGGAACTATCCACCATGTCATTTCAGTCCCCTTTGCATGCCTATATGCTTGCCTTGGATGTCTCTTTGATGCTTTGAAAGCTTGTGTAGTATGTTCCATGTTTTGGCCATTGTGCATGCCTTTGAATTTGAGCCACATAGATGCCATCTAGGGGGTCCTCTTTGCATGGTCTACGTCTGCCTTGAACCTATTTTAAGTCCTCTTAGCCTTGTGAGGCGTGGTTGACTTGGTCATGGTTCAAGCCCTTTGACTTGCTTCAAGTACTTGGGTCATTTATTGCATGCTTAGTCTATTTTGTTTGCTTGGTTTGACACCATCTTAACATGATTTTCAATGCTTATCTTGCATGCAACGTGTCCATGATTACCCTCTTTCAAGTGTGTTTGAGAGTTGTCCCATTTGTGCCTAAGTGTTGGCCCCTTTAACATGTGCATGTGTGTATGTGTTTAGTCCTTTATTTTGGTCACTTTGGCCACTGTTTTGGGCCTTATTAGAGTTGCCCAAATCATGTTTAAGTCCATTATTTGTTTGCTCGCATGCTTACCTTGCATCTTTGTTTGCATGCTTGCATGTGCATCTTGCATTTCCATGTTGCATCCTTAGCTTGTGTGCCTAGGTTGCATTACATTTAGCATGCATGTCTTACTCCTTGATCTAATGATAGGAATTGCACTTTGGTTTGTTGGTTTGCATTGCATTTGACATCAAAATGTGCACACTTGGTCCTTTGGGCCATCACGCATGGAAATGCGCGATTGATGGTCCAAGAACCAAGGATCATGGTCCTTTGAGTCATAAACATGATAAGGGGTGTGATTGGTGCATACATTGCTTGAATTGCATTGCCATGCTCTGTCTTGCCCTCTGTTGCTGTCAATTGCAGATTCTGCAGGAACTTTCTGCCGACCGGCAGTGCTAGGTGCCGACCGGCAATCTTTCCATGGCCGATGGATGCATTCACAGCCGGTGAACACATGCCACTGCTGGTGGCCATTCTATTTAGCCGGTGGTGTCTCCCAATGTCCAGGGAAGCAATCCTGAAACTTTGGCAGTCTTCAGAGGAGCATAGCAGGGAAAACTGAGGCAACCTATGCATGGCAGTGCAGTTCCGAGCAAGACCCGAGCATGCGTGCATCGAACTCTCTTCCCGAGGCCGTTTACTGCTTTCATTAGATTAGTTAATTTATTAATTAATTAATTGGTCTGTAATAATTAATTAGCTTGTAGGTTAATTAATTTGTATTATTCTTTTGGTCCCTCCGAGCGAGGGTGAATTTGTAATAAGTGTGGGTGCGTGTGTGCATGTCTTCCAACCCCCACTTCTTTCTCCCTTTTACTTACCTGCTTTTGATGGTTAGTATTAGGACATGTTTACTTTAGCATACCTTATGCTATGCATGCGTGCATCATTCATCAGTATTGCATGCACCAAGCTCGGCGCATCATACTAACTGCATAAGTATTTCACATCTAACTTGAATAACATGCTACTTGTGCATTTTCACATGTCATTTATAGACTAGCCAAGCCTACTCTAGTGACATTCCGCATGTGTTACATTAGCCATCTTAACATGAACTAGGATCATGCATATGATTACTAACTAGTTTCTATTTTGGCTTGGAGTACTCTGTAAGTCCTTTTGCTTTAGCATACCGCATGCGTGTGAGTGTTGCCATAGTTGCATGATTTCCATGAGGCTAGCTGCTTATGTGATATAACTGCTTGAATGCCTGCGGATGGAGGTTGAATTGCCTAAATTGGAATAATGCATTAGAAACTGTGAGTTTTAAGCCCACTAGATAGTGGCAAAATCATCTTTTCTAAATGCCCACTCGTGGGTGGCAAAACCTGCATTTTAGCCTACTTGCGAGTAGCAAACCATCTTCAAAACGAACATGCAATGTTTTGTTCCAATTTAGGTGATTTGGTCTATACTTGTTTGCTGCGTGCATAACATAGTAATTCTAGGCTAATAAATGGCATAAGAACACATAACGTTTTCAAAATCGGATATCATGGTTAGTAGAGGCCGATCCTCGGATCGGGCGAGAGGGGGTACTCATAGCTGACCTTCCCCAATCGTAACCAAGCCACCGAGCCGAGGCAACTTTGGTGATGACGGACACGTGGCCTTTGGCACCGAGTCAGGGTTTCCTAAATTCCCCCACAAAAAATATTTAGGTGGCGACACTGTATCTGGCAAAGCAGTCCATGTTTGGCACTTCTTTTCAAAAATCTGTTTCCCAAAACGATTTGCCGGATTTGGACTCTTTGGTTCAGATTTAGAACCACAAACAAAATCGAGTCCGAACTGTAGCTGGGCCCCACGCGGGCGCGTCTACAATAAGTGTCCGAGTGTTTAAACCGTAATGCAAGAGAAATGGCAAATAAACACCATAATTACATATCTGCCATCATGCAAGAGGGTCCGAATAAGTGTCCGAGTGTTTAAGCCCTAATGCATGAGAAATGGCAAGTAAACACCATAATTACATATTTGCCATCATGCAAGAGGGTCCAAATAAGTGTCCGAGTGTTTAAACCCTAATGCATGAGAAATGGCAAATAAACACCATAATTACATATCTGCCATCATGCAAGAGTCTCCGAATAAGTGTCTGAGTGTTTAAGCCCTAATGCATGAGAAATGGCAAGTAAACATCATAATTACATAACTGCCATCATACATGATGGTCTGAATAAGTGTCCGAGTATTTAAACCCTAATGCATGAGAAATGGCAAATAAACACCATAATTACATAACGGCGATCATGCAAGGGGGTCCGAATAAGTGTCCGAGTGTTTAAACCCTAATGCATGAGAAATGGCAAGTAAACACCATAATTACATATCTGGCATCACACAAGTGGGTCCGAATAAGTGTCCGAGTGTTTAAACCCTAATGCATGACAAATGGCAAATAAACACCATAATTACATATCTACCATCATGCAAGAGGGTCCGAATAAGTGTCTGAGTGTTTAAACCCTAATGCTTGACAAATGGAAAATAAAAAGCATAATTACATATCTGCCATCATGCAAGAGGGTCCGAATAAGTGCCCGAGTGTTTAAATCGTAATGCATGAGAAATGGCAAATAAACACCAGAATTAAATATCTGCCATCATGGAAGAGGGTCCGAATACGTGTCTGAGTGTTTAAACCCCAATGCATGAGAAATGGCAAGTAAACACCATAATTACATAACTGCCATCATGCAAGAGGGTCCGAATCAGTGTCCGAGTGTTTAAACCCTAATGCATGAGAAATGGCAAGTAAACACCATAATTACATATCTGCCATCATGCAAGAGGGTCTGAATAAGTGTCCGAGTATTTAAACCCTAATGCATAAGAAATGGCAAATAAACACCATAATTACATATCTGTCATCATGCAAGAGGGTCCGAATAAGCGTCCGAGTGTTTAAGCCCTAATGCATGAGAAATGGCAAGTAAGCACCATAATTACATATCTGCCATCATGCAAGAGGGTCGGAGTAAGTGTCCGAGTATTTAAACCCTAATGCATGAGAAATGGCAAATAAACACCATACTTAAATATCTGCGATCATGCAAGGGGGTCCCAATAAGTGTCTGAGTGTTTAAACCCTAATGCATGGGAAATGGAAAGTAAACACCATAATTACATATTTGCCATCATGCAAGAGGGTCCGAATAAGTGTCCGAGTGTTTAAACCCTAATGCATGAGAAATGGCAAATAAAAACCCTAATTACATATCTGCCATCATGCAAGAGGGTCCGAATAAGTGTCCGAATGTCTAAATCCTATTGCATGAAAAATGGCAAATAAGCACCATAATTACTTATCTGCCATCATGCAAGAGGGTCCGAATAAGTGTCCGAGTGTTTAAACCCTAATGCATAAAAAATGCCAAGTAAACACCATAATTACATGTCTGCCATCATGCAGGAGGGTCTGAATAAGTGTCCGAGTGTTTAAACCCTAATGCATGGTTAAGGGCAAGTGAACACCATAATTACATATCGGCCATCACGCAAGAGGATCCGAATAAGTGACCGAATTTTTGAATCCTAATGCTCGGGAAATGGCAAGTAAACACCATAACTACATATCTGCCATCATGCAAGAGGGTCCGAATAAGTGTCCGAGTGTTTAAGACCTAATGCATGCGAAATGGCAAGTAAACACCATAATTACATATTTGCCATCGTGCAAGAGGGTCCGAATAAGTGTCCAAGTGTTTAAACCCTAATGCATGAGAAATGGCAATTAAACACCATAATTACATATCTGCTATCATGCAAGAGGGTCCGAATAAGTGTCCGAGTGTTTAAGCTCTAATGCGTGACAAATGGCAAGTAAACCCCATAATTACATATCTGCCATCATGCAAGAGGGTCAGAATAAGTGTCCAAGTATTTAAACCCTAATGCATGAGAAATGGCAAAGAAACTGTCACACCCCAAACTCACCCCTAAAAGTTCGGTCATGACCCATACAGAAACGGACACTTAACCTGATATACATATCATATGGGGCCTGAACGGAAGCATTTAATATAATAAAATAACACAGAAAAGCATCCATTGAGCTAAACCTAACTTGCCAGGATCACATTCATGAGAGTTATTTATTTTTAGACATACCCATACACATACATGACCGCATGAACAAACATTGGTATAGAAAGGGATCATATACATACATTTTAACCTTAGGTAAATAATTAAAGTGCAAGCCAAAATCTTAACAAAACTTGACATAAATGCATAGACTTGGTCTGGGAACCTGGGCATACTGAGGTTGACGACTGAAGGGTGAGCTTCAAGGGTTAAGACGGACTCCCAAAGTGATTACCTACAGAACATACATAATATAAAGTGAGCGAAGCTCAATGAATAATAGTACATAAACGATTCAATGCTCAACTTGAATTATAATACATATCAATGCATACATAAATAATGAGGCATAAGGTTAATTGATTCTGTATTAATTCTTGAATGGCCTAAGGCCCAGTCTTGAAACATATTGACTTGAAACATAATATCTTGGAACATAATGGCTTTAAGCCCTTGAAAAAAAAAGTGGCGATAGCCCTTGAACATATTAGCATTAAACTTTTAAACATGGTGGCATATAGCCCTTGTACATATTAGCATTAAACTTTTAAACATGGTGGCATATCGCCCTTGTACATATGGCATGAAGCCCTTGAAAAGTTGGCATAAAGCCCTTGAAAGTTGGCATAAAGCCCTTGAAAAGTTTGGCATGAAGCCCTTGAACATGTGGCACGAGGCCCTTGAAACATGTGTGTATGAATTCAAGAGGTGTCTCACACGGACTCTAGAGGTGACTCACTCCGTAGTACTTAGTTCCGTGTAGCACTTTGTTTCATATTATAATAACTTATCCGGAATGGCCATAGGCCTCATAACTTGCACAAATGTATGGACTCAAGAGGTGGCTCGTACAGATTCTAAAGGTGACTCGCATTGCAGCACTTAGTTCCGTACAGCACTTTGCTCCATACCGAAAATACATAATGGCCTCTGGCCTCATAGATCATATAGAATGGCCATAGGCCCAGACTGGCTATAAGCCTCATTCATATATGTATGGACTCAAGAGGTGGCTCACATGGACTCTAGAGGTGGCTCACAATGTAGCACTTAGTTCCAAGTAGCACTTTGTTTCATACCAGTAATTAACAGGTTTTACAGACCAACCATACATATCATGTTATCTCATAAACGGAAACAAATTCATACATATGCATTATGCTTAATTCATGAACAAAAATTAGAATTCTAACTTAATTATACCTGGCTCTTCAATAGTGCTAACAAGTCCATATAAAGCATCCTTGTTCCTCGGTACTAAAAACTTGTAATATCCTAGAACTTATAACATACGTGAACTTGTAACAGACTTAAACTTATAACATACGTAAACTTGTAACAGGCTTAAACTTGTAAACTTGTAACATATGTAAACTTGTACCATACTTGAACTTGTAACATGCGTATACTTGTAACATACATGAGCTTATAACATACTTGGACTTGTAACATACATGAACTTATAACATACTTGGACTTGTAACTTTCACAAACTTGTAACATTCTTGAGCTTGTAACATTCTTGACTTATAGCATACGTAAACTTGTAACTTAATTATTTCAACCACGGTATTATTACCCCTGGGTAAGTGCCTTGTGCTAAAGATGATGTGAATACTTCTGCATATATGAATAATCATTCATTAAGTTATAACGTAACATATCAGAAAACAGAGCATTTCTTGTTATATTACGTCATTATTGTGCGCTTAACAAAATAGAATAATTCATATTCTTATTTGGGTCACATAATGATGTTAAACTTTTGCATTCATGTCGTAGATTCCGAATAACTTCGAATTCATATGTAACACAACAAAATAACTACAAATTCGTATGGATTCACATAACTTTCCAATTATTCTGATTCTTCAAAGATGAACGTAAGTTCCACTTATTCTTTAAGAAATAACATAGTATGCTTGTAAATAACAAAGGGTTAATATTCGTCGTTAACAGAACAAGGATTCCAATGTAACACAACAAAATAACTACAAATTCGTATGGATTCACATAACTTTCCAATTATTCTGATTCTTCAAAGATGAACATAAGTTCCACTTATTCTTTAAGAAATAACATAGTATGCTTATAAATAACAAAGGGTTAATATTCGTCATTAACAGAACAAGAATTCCAAAATCATACCGACGTACGCGAATCTTTCACCGTTCATGTAAGTTCACATTGATTTCCAATTGTCATAAATGTTCATATAACACTTACAAAGAACAGAGCATTAGTGACAATAATTATCAACAATAGATAAAATGTACATTTTTTTTGTACTACTACTCACAGTGCTACAACGGAGTGCTTGTCCCTCCTGAAGTGTGCCCTGTACACATATATAACTTAGTCATTAGTTCTTTTTTCTTTCCTTCATTATTCTTCACAAGCCCACCATTAAGCATCCATTTATACTACAATTTCCTCCATCTCAATATATATCTATAAATAGAAGATTACCATTCTTGCAAACACAGTATGGAACTTATAATCAATCACTTTGATTTCAAGATAGAAAAGAATTGTATGGACATCCTCCACATTTTTCCAAAAATCCCTGAATGTCTAGGGTTTTCACCCAAAAACCAAACATTTCCTATCTACGTAAAGAAACTCCATTAAATCATTCTCTTGATTTTAATAACTAAGCAAGCCCACAAGTATTTAGCAAATAATTTGGGATGAAACCCATTTCGGAAAACTCCACATTTTAGGTCACAAAAATTAAAATCAACACAATTCAACATAAACAACATGATTCAACTCAACATCATTGAATATAATTCAACATAATTCAAACTAAATCCTTGAATCCCATTTCGACATTCCACAACCAAGTTCATGTCATCCCTATCCTTAATAAATTATTTCCCCAATTTTTCCTTTACATTAAAGCATGAATTACAACATTCATAACAAAGTTCATTCGCAAATTTTAAACATAATTTTCAAACATTTCCAAATTCTAATTAAACTTGAACACATATAATTCAATACCTCAATTTCATTATTCTACTTTCAATTTGGGCCAAATCATTGGGTATCATCATTAATCAACCTAGGGTTTCAAGAAAAATGAGGATTTTTAACAAAAATTCACACTTCTTAAATACTACAATTTCCTCCATCTCAATATATATCTATAAATAGAAGATTACCATTCTTGCAAACACAGTATGGAACTTATAATCAATCACTTTGATTTCAAGATAGAAAAGAATTGTATGGACATCCTCCACATTTTTCCAAAAATCCCTGACAATTTAACTTCCAACATCTCAAACTCTAAATCTCCAAATCTCATAATATGCCCTAGATGATAAAAATGAAGATTTTTGCATTAATATAATGAAGTTACCATAAATCTATCCATAGATGTAAGTATTGAGGAGATTTAGAACCCCTACCTCGAAGAAAAAACAAAGGAGCGAGCTTGGATGAGATTCCACCTCAATTTCGAAATTCAATCGGTTGGAAAAGTTGACCCTTTCTTGTTCTCCATCCTTGATACAAGATCCATGGAGGATTTGTTGATAAAAGTGGAGGAAATTAAGGTTTTGGAAGCTAGGGTTTCGGACATGGAAGAGGGGAGAAGAAGAGAGGAAAAGAAATTGCAAGAAATGGTCCAAAAATCCCGTTTTTAGAGCTGCTGTCCCGCACAGACCGCACGTGCGGCGCTATTCCCCGCACGTGCGGCTCTGCTTCCAGCATAGATGTGAAAACTTCAAACGGGTATACCTTTCTCATTGGGACTCCGTTCTAGGTCGTTCTTTTGTCCAAATCGAAGCCCCAGAAATAAGCTTTCCAATGGTTCTAATCTCACATTCAAATTCCAAGTGTGGAAAAAGAAAAGAACAAATGAATGACTGCTGATCGTAGGTTAACTATTCGAATTAAAGTTTTTGGTCCAATCTTACTTTACCATCATATTACCACCTCAAGCAACACCCCAAAATAAAATGAGGGGGTTCCAAACATACCAAGAAAAATGTCAAAAATGAACCCACGTCTCTCCTTATTCAACAGATATGAATCCATAGTCATAAGGTTCACTTATTTAAACTTAATTCCACGTGACATTTCATAATAAGCATATAAATACACATAATGAGGGACTAAAAATATATCGGGAACACATACGAGGGTTGGGTTATTACAGAAACACCATAATCACTTATCCGCGATCATGCAAGGGGTCCGAATAAGTGTCCGAGTGTTTAAACCGTAATGCATGAGAAATGGCAAGTAAACACCATAATTACATATCTGCCATCATACAAGAAGGTCCGAATAAGTGTCCGAGTGTTTAAACCTTAATGCACAGCAAATGGCAAATAAACACCATAATTACATATATGCTATCATGCAAGAGGGTCCGAATATGTGCCTGAGTGTTTAAACCCTATTGCGTGAGAAATGGAAAATAAAAAGCATAATTACACATCTGCCATCATGTAAGAGGGTCCGAATAAGTGTCAGAGTGTTTAAACCCTAATGCATGAGAAATGGCAAATAAACACCATAATTACATATCTGCCATCATGGAAGAGGGTCCGAATATGTTTCTGAGTGTTTAAACCCTAATGCATGAGAAATGGCAAGTAAACACCATAATTACATATCTGCCATCATGGAAGAGGGTCCGAATAAGTGTCCGAGTGTTTAAACCCTAATGTATGAGAAATGGCAAGTAAACACCATAATTACATATCTGTCACCATGCAAGGGGGTCCGAATAACTGTCCGAGAATTAAAACCCGAATGCATGAGAAATGGCAAATAAACACCATAATTACATATCTGCCATCACGCAAGAGGGTCGAAATAAGTGTCCGAGTGTTTAAACCCTAAAGCATGAAAAATGGCAAGTAAACACCATAATTACATATCTACCATCATGCAAGGGGGTCCGAATAAGTGTCCGAGAATTTGAACCCTAATGCAAGAGAAATGGCAAGTAAACACCATAATTACATATCTGCCATCATGCAAGAGGGTCCGAATAAGTGTCCTCGTGTTTAAACCGTAATGCATGAGAAATGGCAACTAAACACCATAATTACATATCTACCATCATGCAAGAGGGTCCGAATATGTGTCCGAGTTTCTAAATCCTAATGCATGAGAAATGGCAAATAAGCACCATAATTACTTATCTGCCGTCATGCAAGAGGGTCCGAATAAGTGTCCGAGTGTTCAAACCCATGTCACACCCCGAACTTGCCCCTAACAGTTCAGGCATGACCTGATCACAAACAGACATATGACCTGATATATATATATAGTCTGTGGGGCCTTGACGGAAGCACAAAACATACAAGAATACAAAATTAAGCAAATCCCATTGAGCTATTTCTAACATGCCAGGATCTCATACATTACATGCACCATAAGAGGTTGATAGAATCCAAAAATATTTCTTGACAGTACATATATACAAACACATATACAGACCCAGCCCTGTAGTCGGGCATGTAACAAAAACTATTGGAGTTATACACAATCAACCTTGGAAGGGTAGCCAAGAAATAAGCCAATTATCTTAGTAGACTTCACAAAATGGGTGGCCTTGTGAGTGCTTGGACACACGAAGGTTGTCAAAAGGAACCGGGCATCATAGGTTAGGATTGACCACCTGGTTGGTTGCCTACAGAAACAGACATAACAGAGAGTGAGCCGGGCTCAGTGAATAGTAATACATAATGAAGCAATGCTCAACTTGAAACATGACATATATCAATATATGTGTAAATGCAGAGGCGAGGTTACAAAGTTAGCCTGATTCTTGTTCATCTTATAACGGCCTTAGGCCCAATCTTGAACATAAAAGCTTGATATATCACATTTAATTCATAACGGCTTGAAGCCCTTAAACATGGTGGCATAATGCCCTTGAACATAGTGGCACAAGGCCTTAAACATGGTGGCACAAAGCCCTTGTAACATATGGCACTAAGGCCCTTGAAGGTGTGCACAAGGCCTTGTAACTTGTTGGGATTGAAGCCCTTGAAAGTGGCATAAAGCCCTTGAAGTGTTACTTATACGAATCAAGAGGTGTCTCACACGGATTCTAGAGGTGGCTCACCTCGTAGCACTTAGTTCCGTGTAGCACTTTGTTTCGTATCATAATAGCTTATATTGAGTGGCGTAGGCCCGGAGTCTTATAGAATAAAGGTATTTTATCCTTCCATTTCCTTCTTTACATATTTGGGACATACTTGAGTTTTAACATGCATACATGACTCATACATACTTGAAACATTAATCATAGTGTGCGTACTTGAGACATTAACACAGTCGTGTAAACGAAATGCTAATGAAAATCATTAGCCATATGTAAAGAAGATAATGATATTACTACTCACAGTGTTGCAATGATGTGCTTGTTCTTCCGGAGTGTGCCTGCACACATTCAACCTTACACAATTTAGTTTCCTTTCCAACATAGATCACTTTCTGTTTCGTTTTACTTCGAGGGAATTCAAACATATTAAAAGGCATCAAATAATTTCCACAACATTGGAGGTTCTAAGCCAAAACGGAGCAATCCATGTTTTTCAGCATGGGCCGACGTGCGGC